TTCATCACAGAGGACCTGGATTTTAATTTTGCAGCCCTCCTCACTTTTCCATTCAGTAGTAGTTTCTGTACTGTTGGCCAGGAATATATATGATAATTCTGTCAACAGAAAGAACATTTTAATTGAGTGTGGTTAATTTTCCTGCCTCAGGGCTATTCACCCAACTACATCAACACAATATAATCTCTGGCTCCATAGGAGCTCATGAGAGTCACACACCTTCAGCCATCTGAAATCTTTGAGGGCAGCAGTGGTAGACCAACTTGGATTTACCAGATACTGCACAGTATCTTTTTCTATTAACAAGCTGTGAGACCCAGACCCAGTGCTAAAACCTCTCCCCAGAGAGCTGCGCTTTGGAGATTGTGGTTGATAATCATTGTGCTGACTGCTCATTTCCTTCATAAGTTTCCTCTTTGAGGAATTGATTATTTTCAGATAAGATTTAAGTGTGTTGTCTAACAGCAAACTGTACTGTGGAGGAAAAAAACCAAATGTTTTCTCCTGTTATACAGAAACGAGCATGCTAAAGAGACCCCAGCCTCTGTAGGGCTGAGATAGGAAGGTACTGGGTTTGACCTACTATAAGGAATACATACAGTACTCCTCAGAACTTTACTCTCTGTGGATATTGTGAGAGACCTGGCTCACTACTGTGTTCTTTGTTGTTATTTGGCTTGAGTTATCCTTATTTTCTCTCATTTTTTTCCCCTTTTCTATTTGGCTTTAGAACAATTCCTTCTATATTTCAGGGCCATCAGAGCCAGCAGAAAGTGCAGTGATTGCCATTTATTGACAAGAATCCTCAAGAGGTGTTACTGCAGAAAGGAATGGAGAGCTCACCTCACTGCATTTTCTACACACTACTGCTAGCTTTAAAGTACATCCAGACATAACTACCACGGGGAATACCTGTGTGACACCACAGCCACTGAGGGTCCAGGTAAAAAACACTTCTGTCAAAGAGCAGAAAAAAAGTTAAGTCATACAGCTGCCAGGATTTAACATGTCAGTAATCCTATCTGTTCATTATCAATGCCAGTAAAATTCTGTATGAATCTCTCCTACCTGGAACAGAGCAAGAAAATTAATTGCCTTCATATTAAATGAGTCAACTTGCTAAACAAGAAAAATACAGGTATCTTCAATAATAATTGTAAGTGACAAAATTGGAGTACTTACTCATTTTGGAAGGCATTTGACTCAGATCCCTTGTAGGAGTAAGTGCTGCTCAATGAAGCAAAGGGAAGCAAAGTGTGGGTTTGAACTCCTTGCTGCTTTCACCATGATGCATGCACACCCCGTAGTGCCCAGAGGCGTGATCTCTCAGTTGTCTATATGATCAGCTTCTCAAATGGATATTATCTGTGTGTGACCTTAAGTTGAGAAGATACTGAGAAATATTACCTACTGAGGGTTGGTGGGTCATAAGGCACTGACATAGATTAATGTCATCTGGTGCTTTTGTCTCTTTGGCTGGTAGGCTTAGAGTGAATGTTGCTTGAAGAGTCTTTGTAGGTTTTGGCTTCATTGGTTCTGCCTGTAGCTAGCTGCTGGTGAGACAAACATCCATTTTAAGGCAACATATGTGTATGTATTCTGTTCACGTATACTACAATTAATAGAAACTTAGAATCTGTGTATTTGTCAGAAATCTGGGATGCACGGTATACAATGGATACCTTACACCCTAATAATTAGTGTAAGTTATCCATCATCACAGGCTATGGCAATCTCTCTCTAAAGACAGAATTATAAATTACACATAACCACACTCAGAGAAAATTGAAGATACAAATTAAATCATTCACATTTGGGAGGAATGGATGAATGAGTGTCAGCTCTATGATTCACCTGTTATAATCAGATTTATTTAACTGGTGATGCTAAGTACATATCAGCCTCTCCAGTCCTTAGTTGGGACACTATGAGAAATTTCTGGTAAGGCACAAGATAAGGAGTCAGGAGTATAGTTGTGGATAACTGAAAGCTCAGGCACAGAAAGTGGAGTTATCCCTCTGTTCTGCCTAAGCAGGACAGGACAGTGTTGAAATTAAGCCAAGTGTGAGTTCCAGACTTAAGATCTTTCCAAATGCCTTGGAACGTGCCAATCTAAGTGAACCTTCAGCCCAGATAGCACAGTATAGCCCACTAATGTATTTTCATTTCCATACAGTACAGCATGGTAAGTATAAATTTCTTAATTTCTGAGGAATAGTCATTTCTCTGGCTGCATGTAGCAGACATAAAATCAAATTTAGCCAAGAAGTGATCCAAAAGAAGGTAACAGTTCAGATTCCTAGCCTAGATCCTAGCTTCTCCTTGTACTACTTGTACTTGGAGAGTGTACTTGGAGCGTACTAGTACTACTTTTCCATGGTTTAGCTCTTGGTTATCTTTTTGTCCTTAATCTCTGACTGTATGAGGTACATTTTTACTGACCTTCTTTAAACATTTCCTTGTTGACCTACTGCACTTTAAGACCATGGCATTATATCTGCAAAGTACAGCAATCCAACCACAAACAGAAGAAAAATACTTATTCTGCACTTGTTTGACATTCTGACAACCAAATCCACACCTGTACAAGACCTCTGTTTTACAAAACTTGAGCCTTGCCCAACTAGGCACAAAAATGAGAGAAGCTCCCGCTGTTTGGACTGCTTGTCTGTACTGGAAATGAAGTGTATGTTGATTAAATTCACAGTCAACACAGCCTCATACTCAGATAAATGAGCAGTGTCATATTTAATACAGGGTGAGTACTGGGAGATGCATGCAGGCTTTGTGCCAAGTTTGCCTAGTAAGTACCCTGCAACTTCTGCAGCATTTTATCATCTTTCCAACAGATCCATGGTTTGGCTTTCCACCGAGCAGCATCAAGCTGCAAAGGGTGCAAGGCACAAGGAGGCAGCAGCAGCCAGTTTTAATACACTTAGGAGCTGAACACTGGTGACGTTTTATGGATCATGCCTTTGCTGCGTGCAGAACTGCTGGTATCACCACAGAGATCATTTGCAAAAAAGAAAGACAGTCTTCATCCTTATGCCTGTTGAAGCCAAATTATCTTTTTATTCTTCATTTATCTACCACAGCATGCTTTAATGGAAAATTAATGTTACTGCTACTAAATATACACCAACCCTCCTGACTCACCACAAAGATTCTCTTGTTTCCCATTGACACTCCCCCAAAGCTTCATTTTAACTTGCTCACGTATAACTGTGGGCGCTGAAACTCTTAACCTATCTCTTAGCATGCAGGAAGTCCAGGACCCTGTACATTGAAAGGGTGGCTCATTAATCTGCCTTGGTGCTGATGAACCCATTGGCAGAACTGCACCTGATCTAGCACCTGTGAAATGAAATGTACAGCAGCTGCAGAAAGTTCTGATTTAAGGAAGGATAATGGATAAGTTCAAAATGTGACACATTTAACTATTTGAATTGTTGCATTTAAATACTTTTCCCAGTTCTTCCCTCACACTGCAGTGTGGCTGATAAAATCCTATTTTCAGTTTGGTAATAAGTACTGATTTATTTTTTTAAAATTGAACACACATGACTTAATTTTAATCTGATCTTTATGTATAAACCTCACCTGAAGCAAATTAGTAATTCCACAGGCTTCACAGGACCAACATTTGCTGAAGGATACATTTAGGATATTCACTTGGAAAGAGTGAAACAAAGCAGTGGGTGCTGCATTGTGCTCAAAAAGGAAGAAGGAAAGATGCAGGCAGCACCCCATATTTTTCCTCAAAGAGAGGTAAGCCTTACCTGCTCAGCATGGTCACACAGACCTTTCTCTATGATGTAGCAATCACTTCACTCTCCTGAAAATTGACATGGTTAAATAGATGGAAGAGGCCATTACTGAACTGGCTATGTAGGATGGAAGCAGAATTTAGGCAGATAATGAGTAGCCTGAAGGAAAAAGGAGCAAACTGAGTTTTCCTTATCAGACAGGGAAAGCCAGAGAACCACAGAATCAGAAAATCATAGGAATAAAAAATGACTTAGGTTGGAAGAGACCTCAAAGCCCACCCAGCCCCAACCCCTGACATGGGCAGGGCTGTCTCCCTCCAATTCAGGTTGCCCAGGGCCCCATCCAACCTGGCCTTGAGCACCTCCAGGGATGGGGCACCACAGCTTCTCTGGGCAGCTGTGCCAGCGCCTCATCGCCCTCTGAGTTAAATATTTCCTCCTAACATCTAGCCTAAATCTCCCCTCTTTTAGTTTAAAGCCATTCCCCTTATCCTATCACTGTCACACCATGTAAAAAGTCCATTTGCCTCATGCTTATAAGCTGCCTTCAAGTACTGGAAGGCTGCATTAAGCCACCTCTTCCCCAGGCTGAAAAACCCCTGCTGCCTCAACCTTTCTTCACTGGACAAGTTTGATGAGGAAAGGCTGAAGGAATTGGGTCTGGCCCATTATACTTAATCATTAGTAGCAAATTAGTAGCCGTGTAATTGTATTCTACTCTAAAATGTAGTAAGTAATTAGTGTTTGAAGGAATTACCATTCAGTACACAGACAGCAACTAACACTGAACAGATCTGTTAGATGCCTGTTCCTGTACTGTAGGAGTGATCTGGGTGCAAACTCTGCACTAAGTGTGGCAACACAAACATTGTACTGTCTGAAAGGGACAAGAAGGTCCCTCCAGTCCCAAACTGTCAAGACCTGGGCAAAGCACAGTTACTGCCGAAAAGTGACGTGGATTTCTTGCATCTCCTCCCTAATCAAATCCCTACTCCTATGCTACAGTGGGACACGAGGAATTTATGTACTCGTTGTAGCAAACTCGAAGTCTATATAAAAAAAAGACTTTAGGAAGGCTCGGCCTGTCTTGCTCTCAGCCCCTTCGCGCAATTCCCCGTCACTTTGGCGGGGGCGGGGGCCCGGCAGAACGGGGCCGTGGCTGCGGCCGGTGCCGCCCCTGTGTCGGTGCGGCCCCATAAAGCCGCCGCCCGCCGCCGCCCTTAGTCGCCCGCTATGCTCCTGCCGCCGCCCGCGCTGCCCTGGCTGCTGGCCGCCTGCTGCCTCTGCGCCCTGCCGCGGGGCTCCGGTAGGTGCGGGGCCCGAAGGGTAAAGGGGCTGCCCTCGGGGCCCCGCTGAACCGCCCCCCCTCGTGTCCTTTTCCGCAGGGTTCCCGCAGCCCCTCTCTCGCTACAGGGACGGCGCGGAGCTGCCCAAGAGCCAGGTAGGGCGCTCATGCCGGGGGTTGGGTGAGGGGTCAGGGAACTGGGCTGCTGGCTGCTGGGGACAGCCCCGCCGCTAACGTCCGCTCTGTACTTCGTAAGCAACTGGCGCTGTGCTTCAGTCAGTGGATGGAGCTGTCCAACCAGCCCCAGGTAAGCTGCCGTTGGGCTCAGCGTTTTCGTACCATCAGAAGTTGTATGGAAACTTTCAACTGTTTTGTTGTGCGTGGTGGTTTGTTTGTTTGATTGATTTTGTTTGGTTTTTTTTTGTTGTTGTTGTCGTCTTTTTCCCCTCTTATCTTCCAGTTTTGTTGAACAAGATTGGTGGGAAATAGTTCCCAAAGATGGTTATTTGTCTTGCGTTTTATTTCCTTATTTCTTGTCTGAGATGTGATCACGTACATAACCAAACCCTTGTCCTGTGAGTATGGGACCCCCATGTGAATCCCATCTTTGCTCTCTCCTTCTCCTCGGGAGTCCTGAGATAAAACCCACTGGAGCAGCTCTTGTCACTGACATAGCAGAGTTACTCTCTGGCCCTTCATCATCTGTCCTGCAGGTGTACAACTGGACCAGACTGATTTTTAGCATCTAATAAGATAAAACTATCTCTGTTGAACATACTGGGCTCTGTGATCAAACCTACATCAAACAGCTTCTCCTGAAATGCCTATAGATGAATGAGTGTAGATAAAACATGCAAACAAAGACAAATCCCAACCCAGCTAATTCTGGAACACTTGGCATAGGAAGGAGCATCTTAAATGTAAGTGATTCATTTAAGTCTGTTTATAGCAAGAGGCTCTACTGACAACACAAGTCTTTCTGTATGCTCCTTATAACAAAATACTTGTTTTTCATCATGTACTAACATCAGTAAGCCTTACCTTGCTCTGAGTGGTTTTATTGGAACCACATACATAATACTTAAATTGTGCTGGGATTTGGGTGAAGCCTGTAAAACTGTTCTCTGTAAGACCTTGTACATGGTGTCCTATCAGTAAGTGTATTACAGAACTGTTTGGTTTTGCAGATCTCCAGCACTGTTTTGGATCTTTGTTATTCCATATTCAACAGCATGCAAACAAATGAGGTAAGGTGCAATTGCTGCTTTTACCTAAAAGCATCCCCTCCTTAGACCTTTTCCAAGTGATAACATATAATCTAACACTGTCATAGTCTGGGAGATGCAAGAAAGTACCAATGAAAGAATATTTTTTCTCAATAGTGCTTTCATGTAATACTTAATGCTATTATATTAGAAATCAAGTTTTTTTTTTTTATTGAATCAGAGCTAAACATCCACTTACAAATGAGGTTAGTATTTTAAACTGGCCCCCACTTTTGCATAATAGAGGGTTAAACATACTAAAAAAAATACACAGCATTGGTTCAACAGCATGCTTAAGATCATGCTGAACGTGGAAGCATATGAACTGCTTTGTTAATTTTTAAGTTTTATTGGAGCTTGTTTGTTTTTTTTTCTTTCTGATTCAGATCCAAAAACTTAAGCTGAGAAGTTGCTGAGTGTATATATAATGTGTACACTGAGCTATACTGGGTATAGCTCTTCCTCAGTGGTGCGGTAGTATTAGGACCTAGCTCAATATCAGTTCTGCTTTAAAATGCTTTCTATTATCAACAGTTTGCCTTTCCCATAAAAGTCATACTGCCTGTAGGTATATTAAAGCTATTTCACTTGTGGAGTTTGACTCCTCTGTTTTATTAAATCACAAATAGAGCCTTCAAGACAACAATAGAAAGTATTTTGACAGATATTTTGAACAACTCTTCTTGCCAGTGTCTTTGCCTTATTATAATTCCAAGCATGTTTTCCTAAAGCAGCTATACCACTCTACAATACTGAAGTTTATTATATAAAAACTCTAGCGTTTCTCTATTGGCTTTGTGCTTCTACAGTTTAGCTAGTGAGGAAACACCCAGAACCAGCCAGTAGCCATTCCTGGTTACTACTTTAGTAACTAACCTTACCAAAAATTCACTCTGTAAGTACTCAAGGCTGGAAGCTGGATCTTACAGTGTCTTTTCAAGAGTTACAGCAAACACTTGCAGTGTATCTACAATAGGATTTCTAGGTGTTGTCTGACAAAGTAGAGGCTCAAAAGCAAAGGGTGAGATGCGGAAGAACTGCACCTAAAAAACTTGTTGGGAGAACTAGTGGACTATTTAGTTTCAATGTCTAATTATCAAACAAATCTTGTAGATGGCAGTCTCAAAGGAATCAATAGGAAATAATATCTAAAGAGTATTTGAAAATCCCTTTCTAAATCAAGCCAATACACAGTTTTTAGTAGCTCACCTGTTGCCGTGTTTCTTCCATACAATTAAATCCTACTAGCTAGGACATCTGAAAGTGAGTCTAAGTTATGTGCTGGTGTTTTTCTCTGCTTGATGTCCAATAATCATCTCTCAACAACTAGTGTCCACCATATCTTCGTAGTGTCCCCATTTGTGTCCTTTTATCTTGACTGAACATGCACTTTTTTTCTTCTGCACTGTTTTGTACTGAGCTGACATTAATGGGACCTGCTCTGTTCATCATTTCCTTGTGCCTTGAACCAAGAACAGTTAAACAAAGGCGAAATCCTCATTGCATTGCCCGAGTCCCAATTCCTTCATAATTCCTTCATTCCTTCTTGCATATTTTCTTTTTAAATTCCTTCTCCCCAGTTTCCCACCCACATGCTTTATCTGTGCTCTCCTCCCATCTTCATACTTTGCTCCTCTTGGACAACTCAATCCATTCACTGGCATAGCGGCGGCTCTGGCTTGGAGCTGTTCTGTTCCCAGCCAGCCAGATGCGTGGTTGTGGGCAGCAGTGCTGCAGGCAGAAGAGCTCTCAAACCTTGCAAGTGTACTGGGCAGCAGGTTCAGGGCTTTGTGAAACACCTGGCTGCTTCTGTTCCCATGAAATTGCGGGGAAAGTTTCTATTCCTGATGTAGAAAAATGAGCAATTTTATGAAGAGTAAGAGGGGTGTGCTGGAAGGCATCAGCAGTAATGCCTGGGTTGAAATATAAGGGCAATTTTCAAGCAGGAGAGCAGCCCCATTTAAAGAGGGGAACAGCTATCAAGGACCATTTAAGCCGGAGGTGTGGACTGCTATGCTTCGTGCCCATTTGAGCTCTGCTTCTCTCCCCAGAAATAAAAGCATGTTGAACAGTGGAGTTGGTTAAAGTGGGATTTACAATAAGTCTTCAAAAAGATCCATTTGCTGCTGTTGTTGTAGCTGTCTTCTGTGTGTACTTGTCTCAGAGTGGAAAACCTAATCAGTGACAGAGGATTACTACAACAAACAAACAAACAAAAATGATGGCATCTTGATTAACTTACATTGTTGACTTGCAGGAATCACAGGTTGCTGCTGCAGAGTTTACGAAGAAGGTATGTAAATGTAATGGCTAGTAAGTAGGAGTATGTAAGTGATATATAAGTTATATAAGTGATGTTTTTAATCACTTATATAAGTGATTGGGAAGAGCTAAGCAGACCCTGCTTCTGCAAAGCACTGTACTATGTGTAAAGCTTCTTCTGTACATCTTCTCAAGCCTGTGAATCTTTAATTATGGTAACTTAGTATATTTACACTAGACAGAATGGATCATTGTAGACAGTGCCCTTTGGGTATTAATTTTTAATCAGCAGTCCAGATGAATGGGCACTGGAGACTTTCAGCATCTTGTTATTTGCATGCTGCTGAAAGAGGCCCTGAATTATTGATAGGCTGATGGAATGACACCGAAACTTGTCAACAGATCTATAGAACAGAGTTTAAAATATTTTGTTAATGGCTTGTGTTTTATTTTACAGGATAGTCATGGGACTCTGGGACGGCCTTTTTTCCTTTTCAGGGTATTTGAATTTCTTACAGATTCTGTGTGACAGACAGTGTTATATCCATATACCATCACCTGCTTCACTTCACAAATTCTCACCACACTTGTTTTGGTTAGACATCAAATCCCCCTCTGTTTGAAAGCTGAAAAAGCCATTTGCTTAAAAAACTCTGGTTCAGCTAAAAGACCACAAGATAATGAGATCTGGAGTGGTAATGGATTGAACTCTTTTTACTGTAAGATGTGACTGTGGATGTCTCCATTCACCTCCTCTAAAGACAGAAGTATGTGGCTTGTATGTCACAGATGGCCAAGGTGCCTTCATACTAAATTCCCCCTATGAAGCAGATGCATGAGCTGATTTTCCACATAGCCTGGAAGGTCTGGCTAGTAGGCAGTGGCATGCTGCATAACAGTGAAAAGCCAAAGCAGTGTTATAAACATCCTCATTTTCTTCACTTTTTTTCACCCATTGGCTTAAACTGTGGCACGGTCTAGTTCAGAATACTCAGGTCTATGATTATATGATTAACCTTATAAGGTTAACACCAAGCTAGTTTTTAGGAATGTTTTCAATGTATCAGAAAAGAAATCTAAAAAGGTTTTGTCATGTAACCATTGTGTCAATTCAGAGTCTAGTCAGGTACTTTCAGGGCTGGTGTTTGTATGTTCTTTGTTAGGCATCTACTTAGTTCCTCGATGAGCTGGGACCAACATCCTTAGAATAATAGAAGTCAGATTGAACAAAATTTCCTGGGTTCACAGTCAAAACCCACCGTACATGGCTCCCTGTGATACTTAACATGTCTCTTTAAAAGAAATCTTAGCGCAGCCTTAATGGGGGATGTATTTGGCTGTGTTTATATATCTGACATCTAATAGCTCTGTATAGCCCTTCCATTATTTTATTTTTCAGCCTCGAAATGGAAGAACTATTGAAGGCAGTGGTGAGTAGACTATCCAAAAGCAACCAGAACTTGTTCCATATTTCAGTAATGAAGGAGTTACTGAGGAGTTGTATGAATCTAGTACAAACCTAGATACCCATGTGGATGTTTCATATGGTCAGTGAAAGCCATTGGGACAGAAATTCTTTCTTGCTCAAAGTGTTATGGTATATGCTCTTGACAAAATAATTTTCTTTGAGGTTCATTCAGGAAGTATTTTCACCCTCTGTAAAATGATAGAAATGATACAGAAATGACTTTTTTTTCTAGTGGGTGTATATTGTACTTGGAACACAAAAGCTAGCAAGTCCTTCCCTATGATAAATGTGGACTCAACTCTGCTCCCAGCGACCTTCAGTCACCTAGTTCCATGTGAGAACCCACTAATAAGATCTCTGCATGCAGATCGGAGTGATCTTTACATCATATTTAGGTCTTCCTGGAGTAAACCTGAGTAGAAAGAGCAAGAATGGGGATGTAAGGAAGGAAGACAGTAAGATCTAGTAGTATCATGTAGTTCTTCCTTATCCGTCTTTGAAAGGGTATATTAAATGTCTCAGTGTGCTTTAATGGAAAACGCAGAAAATAATCAGTGTATATGCATTTCCTCCTTCAAACTCTCTTCTTCCAATCTTTTGTCCCACAATAAAAAAAATCAATCTGTTTGCATTTAAGAATCACATCCAAGTGTTGACGGGAAAGGTTATTTATCTGGGGTGACAGGTCAGACAAGTAGCAAAGAAAGACTGCAAAGAAAACAAGCAAAGAATGTTTTTACTGTATTTTTAAGATGAAGTCAGAAAGAAGGGAGACAATGATTGGAAGTGTGTTATGGAGCAGCATAACAGTGTGCTTGCTCTGCTCTTACCCACAGCTCAGTGCCCTGAGTTAGTTGGGCTGCAGGATCAGCGCTGTGCCTCCACCCTTCTGAAAGGAAGTCAGTGTAGTTGGGATATGATGGAGAGAGCAGAACTGCATGAGGAGGGAGGATTCATGTTTGAATGCACCTAACAGATCGGGGTACTTAATCCCATATTTCAGACTTTCGCCTATCTTTATCTCAAGGTACAGGAATTTCAGGTGATTTCATTTCTAATTTTAGGAAGGACTAAACATACATAACTGAATACTAAATCACATACAGATCAACATTTCAGCATAAAATATGACATTGCATTAATTTATTTCAGAATACCATGGAATATGAAGTCTGTGAGTCGACTTACCAGCTCAATAACTTGGTTTATACAAAAATAAGAGACTTCTTGTTGCACTGTCTATTACGTGACTGAGTTGTCTGGAATTTACTGTTCTATATAATAAATTTGCAATCATGAATTCTTCTTGTTGTCCTTTTCTGTTGTAGCAGGCACTATACCTCGTTGGGCTGTAACATAACATTGTCTGGTTCTGACTTTATTAAAAATCATTTGAATAGAGATAATTCTCAAATACTTCCAATAGTGCATTTTATATTTATTGTGTCTTCTTTACTAGGGTCGTGCAGGTAACTTTACTCTTTTGACAAATTAACATACTTTCCAATCACTTAAGAAGATACGTCCCACGATAAGAAATAAAAGTTATCATGGATGTTTTAATGGAATAATTCTTAGTTTGAATAATTAAAGGATTGAGTGTGATAAAAAATGAATCCAAAGCACTTTCAAAGAAGAGGAACATGTATTGCTGTTCACAGAAGAGCTGTGGAGTCAGATGAGAGCATTTTTTTTCAAACTTGCCTTGCTGGCTATCGTAAAGCACAAATAAGTCACTCATGAGAGATATCCTAAATATCTGCCCTTTTTACTGAAATAATGAATATCAATCAATCAATAATGCAGCCAGTCGTGTTTGCACTGTAAGGAGTGGGTGATTTGTATTGGAAAGTGGAAATAGTTATGTGCAGAAATCTTTAAATACTGAAGTGGTTGCTTCCTTTGGAAAGGGGCATAATACAGCCAGGGTGAGAAGTATGAGGCCTATGTGATGAAAATACATCAGATTTGGATTCCCCAGTAAAAAGTGACCCACAGCAGTGGTCTCTTCAAGCCCTTCCTTACCTTAGATTCATAGAATCATCTGAGTTGGAAGAGACCTTAAAAGGCCATCTAGTCCAACACACCTGCAATGAACAGGGACACCTACAGGTAGATCAAGGTGCTCAGAGCAGCATCCAGCCTGACCTTGGATGTCTTCAAGGATGGGACATCCTGGATTTCTGGGCAACTTGTTCGCCTACTTTACTAACCTTATCATAAAAAAACTCTTTCCTTGTATCCAATCTAAATCTTTCATTTTCATTTGAAATCATTTCCCTTTGTCCTATCATGAGAGGCCCCACTAAAGCATCCGTCTTTCTTAGCCTGCCTTCCCCTCCTGGAGTACTGCCTTGGTAAGGCAGCATGGTACCATCTCAGTTATGCAGGCACAGGTGTCTGTGAATGGGATTTGGGAACTCCTCTGTCTTTGAAAACAAACTCTGAGAAATCTGTGGTAGTATTTTAGCCAATAGATAAAGTGATGATTTATTTGGCTACTGTTAAGATGTCATCTAGGTGAACACCATCCAGTCGTGGCCCTCCACTCCACAAAACTCATGGACAAGTGGGAGGGAGCTCACAGAGATCTCCCCTAACCTGTTGGGGCTGGAGCACTTGATCTGTGAGGAGATGCAAGGGCAGCTGGGCTGAGCTAGCCTGGAAAAGGAATGGCTTCAGGATTGCCTAACAGTGAGGATGTCTGAAGGGAGGCTGCTAGGGACAGAAATGGCCTCTTCGGGCCTTGATGGCACACTGTTGCATTGGCAAACCCTGCTGGAAGCTGTTAGCTCATGGAAAGGTTACTAAAGGGATGCTGGCTTCTCTAGTTCCTAAAGCATTAGGGGCCAGCTTGGGTGAACCCCAGGAGAAAGCTAAATCTGCTGCAAGTGGTGAGGATGCACTGTAGTGATACACATGAATATAAGGTAATGAGACTAAGACACAGTGGCCTGTTTCACATCAGAGGCCAAAGCTTACTCTTGCTCAGTTCTGCATGAGTACTGTACCACAACTCATGCTGTGCACTCACCATCAGCAGTGACTTCCTCCACACACAGCAGGTTTCCAGAGTAGCATCTGTATAGGTCTTAAGACCGGCTAACTAGAAGTGGTAAATGCACAGCAATTTGCAAGTAATTAGCTCAGATTCCTCAGCTATATTTCTATAGCAACTATAGCTCCTCTGTAAAATGCACCGGAGAGCTCTTGTTTGCCTGTTGGTGGAAACCTCTCCTCCCCTGAGCAACTGGAACTGGAGTAAGAGTCATCCATGTGGACCAAAACCTGAGTTAGACTGTACATCACAAAAATCCTGGCTGTGAGCACCATTACGGTTGGATTAGATGATCTCAGTGGCCTTTTCCAATCTTAATGATTCTTTAATTTTTAATGATTCTATGATACCTGGCCTGAAACTCTTTTTGAACATCCCACAGTAAAATCCATAGCAGAAATTTGAGTCCAGATGTGCAACAGCAACAATTAGGAGTGAAAAATTTCTATGAAAAAAGGAATGAAAGCTGAGTTCTTGAGTTCAGCAAAAAAAGGGACAAATGAAAAGGGATGTGACGGTATATAAAGAGCATGTTTAGAAGAGTAAATCCAGCACTTATCCATCTTCTTGTAATGAAAAGGAACAACGGGGGAAATTCAATTACACTGAGAAGCAGTACATTTAAGCTGCAAAGGGGAATTGTTTTCTAACACTAAATCAACTCCTGAAACTTGTTGCTGTAGCTCAGAATGAGTGATTTGAGACAGCTCTGCCTGCTTTTGGGGAGGACACACTGAGGACAGTGCAACTTCACTCTATATAATTTGCCTTGAGAATCCAGGCTGGCCCAGACCTCCCGTGTTATGGGCTGCTGGGGCTTGGAAGCAGCTGTCTGTCCCCCATGCTTCATTTCTTCACTCTATGTGGGAGGTCAAATGCACTGTGGGGGTGTCTGGCATTTCCCATAGCTGTGGGTCAGACAGGGCTCACATGCATCAGCTTCTTCTACTAGCAAAGCCACTAGCCCATTAGCATCAGACAAACACATTGCTGAACCCAGGCTGCAAACAAGCTGTGGCAGAATTGCTGCAACAAATAGTATTTTTTTTCTTCCTGAAGCTTCTTTGCTAAAACATAACAACTGGTGTTTTGCAGGTCTGACAGCACTCAGTTGCAAGCTGGCTCCCATCAGGAACAGCACATTTACTAAATCTCCAGGCTGGGAGGGACTGCAAGCACTGGCAGACAGAGCCAGCATTCAGGACGGACTTAGCAAAGCTACATCAGTGGAAAAAGTGTACAGCTCATTGAGGCTGAGAGTGCATAAGAATAATTGGTTGCAGCTTTGCAGAGACAGGGATAGAATCATAGAACCTTAGAATTGTTTGAGTTGGAAGAGATCCATAAAGGCCATCTAGTCCAACTCCCTGCGATGAACAGGGACACCTACAGCCAGATCAGGGCGCTCAGAGCCCCATCCAGCCTCACCTTGGATGTCTCCAGGAATCTCATTCACCACCTCTCTGGACAACATGTGCCAGTGCCTCACCACCCTTACTGTAATAAACTCTTTTCTTATATCCAGTCTAAATCTCCCCTCTTTTAGTGTGCAACCGTTTCCCCTTGTCAGTTGCTCCTTGGGTGGATAACTGCAATCAATCAGATATAGTACTGGGGAGAGCACAAAAATACGATGTCACACTACCAGTATGGAGGCTTACAGAGTACCATTGGAGGAGGAAGATGGAGAGGTGACAGAAGAGGGACCAGCTGGGAGGAAAGACAAACATTAAGGGAAGTTAGGGCCGTGAATGAGGTGGGGTTGGTTGCATAAGGGGAATAATATAATGCTTCATTTTAAGCTTATTACTCCTGGCAGTATCTGCATGTGCATGGATACTGCAGGAACAGTAAGCTTAAAATGAAATAGGATATGAAGAAGGATTGACATTATGTTTGACAATCAGAAGAATGAAGCACTGGTTGACAGGCAGAGTGATCTTTTCTTGGTCACGTAAGTTCTCCAGGTGGACTGACACCTGACTTGGACAGTATATCATAGAAGTCCATTTTCTCCCCTCAGTGTTTTGTCGTGGTGCAATGTTTGTTGCTGATTATGTTTCGCTTAATAAAAGATTAGTGTTTTATCCTGTGCCACTAGCAGCTGTGACAAGTGGCACCTCGCTCCCTGAGCTGCATGTACCCAACCTGGGAAGGGCACTGCCTTTGCTTGTGGGATGCTTGTGAAGAGCAAGAGAAGACATCTCAGTGTGGAAAAGGAAGCATATGGATTACAGGAAAAAAATGAAAAGACCATTTATTATCTGCAAAGTCAGATTGCACACTGGAGTCCTTTGAAAACACAGTGATAGGATTCAAATAGATGACAGTGAGGATAAACAAAAGGCCAGTGAGATAACTTTCATGTATGTGTGACATAAAATACTATATAGGAACCCACCAGCTTGTCTCCTCTTCACGTCCTCAACAAATAATGAGACAGAAGCAGCTGCAGAAATTACAGATCTACCCGCTGCAGATATAAAACCATTTGCTTGGTTTAGCCAGCTCTGCAGAAGCCATGCAGCTTCTTGATAGGCTGGCCAAAAACTGTCTGAACCCTGCTCAGCCTTACTGGAGTATACGAGGCCACCGACTGAATACCTGCTACAAGATGGATGTGTTTGTTATTCTAAACACAGCAACAAAATGTTTATTTATTTGCTGGGATATTGGAATCAAGCAGTGGTGGCAGCATCACTGCTGGCAGCTGAGATGGATGCTTGTGTGGGAAGGCTTGTCTTGCTTGTCTGCTCCAGACAACTCACACATTGCAATTGCCAGTCTCTACCTTATTAAACTGAGTAAAAACCTATGTTTGATGGGGCTGCACTGTATAAATTGTCTTAATCCATACATGTATCACCCTGATAGATTTCTCCACTGAACAACTAGAAGCAGCTGCCAAGTCTCTTCCTCCAGTCTTTTGCCACAGTGAAGAAACAAAAATATGAATGGTCTCATAACTAGTTATGATTCAGCACCTGCAAAATTGACATTTCTCTAGGGAAAAGAACCTTATACACCAAATACCATTAATCTATTACCCTTAAACATACTGAGAGATCAATAGAGAAAGTCTGAAGGTGAACCTATGGCTAAATAGAAAGGAAAAGTTTTGGACATATTTACCACATAGCCCAGAGGTTTGTACAGAGCAGTTCAGATAGTTCCTGCTGCATTACTGCATGGGGTGAGGAGCACGTATGACTGACTACGTGTCTCTGGAGTATAGCTATCTAAACTTAAAACAGCAAAAGATCTATGTATCAACTATAATTTCCAACAGAAAACGCAATGGTCTCTCTTGCTCCACCTGAATTGCTTAAACAAGAGTCTTTGATTGCTTTCTCCAGTTTGTTTCAGGGTCTGTAGGGCAAGATTTGTAAGGAGCGGCTAAGGCCCCTCGTTGTGCTCAGCGCAGAGCAGAGGAGCTGAGGGGAGGCCTGATGGCGGCTGCAGCTCCTCACAGGGAGCGGAGGGGCAGCGCTGAGCTCTGCTCTGTGTGACAGCGACAGGGCCCGAGGGAACGGCATGGAGCTGTCAGGGGAGGGCAGCTGGGGGTCAGGGAAAGGGCTGCACCAGTGGACGGGGAGCATGGTGAGTTCAAGGAGCGTTTGGATAGAGCTGTCGGACATAGGGTTTGAGGTTCGGGTGTCTCTGTGTGGAGCCAGGAGTTGGATTCGATGATCCTTGTGGGTCCCTTTCAACTCAGGAGATCCTATCATTCTTTGACAGCTGGTACACCGCGTTAAAATGCCTTCCAGGACAGACGCTTAGCATTGCAATATTGGGATTGGGCAGCAGAGGGCAACACTGATACCACTGATAATTGGGATGTTAAAATCAGAGGCGCGCCAGAACCCACCCAGGTCTCTGAGTATCAGTGACGCGTTACTGCCATGCTGTGGCAATGGGCGCACTGTGCTTATTTTGATCCTAAACTGAGTAACAGACGTGAGAAGGCTTTATGCATCCCTTATAAGCGCCTGGACAAAGCTGTCTGAGGCCTAACAAGGAAGCAAAAATTACAACACAAATCTCAGTGCAGAGTGAGCTGCAAGTGTTCTCCAAAACCGGTACATCCATCAGCAAGATCAATCCTCCAGACAGGGCGCAGAAGAAGAGTTTTGTTTTTTTTTCCAGGCATCATTTCATTTCCGTGTTTCCATCCGTCCACAGCTTCATTGAATTGTGGAGTACCATGTAGACACTTCTTCTAATGGGTGTTATTGAAAACATCAGTATTCCTTGACAGACAATTGCACCATTCCACAATTGAGTTAGGAAAGTAACACGACATCAAGATAAACATGTTTTTCAGCACCGGTAACGAGAGCTGCCACAGGAGCTGCATTTGGAAATTTTTCATTGCTTTGCATCTTAGTCACGTACCAGCTTTGGCCACAGGTGACTAGACAGACATAAGATGAAATCTGTAGCACTGGATGTAAGGGAACTAACCACGTGTGAAAGTATGGTGCAATTAGTGCCTCATTTTACAGAAGTAAATGAGTAGATCAACAGAACTAACAAAGTTATATCTATCAGATTTACAACTCGAGGATCTCCACATTGCACATAATGAAAGATAGTTTTTATTTTCATTTGACTAGCATAATTCCATGCTGCTGCCCTCATTTCAGTCAAGGTATTCATAGGCTCTATTCCTTTTACAGACCTACCTATTTCCATAAAACTGATAAGAATCAGAGTAGCTCTCCATCATATTTGCCTATTGCTGTGGATTCAGAACTGAGTGAAGTAAGCCAGCTTAGTAGGAAAGCATAAGATGGTAAATCATATGTTTGACTTCCAGTTCAGGCTCTCTTAATGCATAGTGGTAACGTACACTTCAGTGAACCACTTAAGTGCATGATCTTCATATTTACCAAGTGCTTTGCTTAACAGAGGCTTCTCACTGTGTATGAAACTAATGTGTTCCACCAAAGCAGCATATTTCTAACTCAGCTTCCCCATCTCTGAAACACGTGTTGTCACGTGTCACAACTTGTCAGTCTCAAAGTTTTATTATGATACCCTATTTGTTCTGTTCTATTCTAAAGAAATAGCTTTAAAAACATCAAGAGTATCCATTAATGAACCAAGCTGAAACCCAGACCATTCAGAGAAGACAAATACTGATTATCAAGATATTTGTCTGAACTTGTTCCGATTTACTGTGTCTGGAATGAAAAATGACATTAATCATTGTAACAAACAAATTTGTACATAGTTTACCTTACAACCAACTGAAAGAATTTATGCTTACATTAAAAGTAACCCTTAGATAATAGCTGTTATCATATTACCATGATGCATCACTATTTATTCATTTTAGTGCGATTAGCTCTCCTCCAGTAAATATTTAAGTACTCTTCAGAGTATGTTTAGCAAAACAAGTTGCCAGGGGCCAGTTCTGTGTTCATCCCATTAAGACTGCTAACATTCCTCATGAAAATTCAACAAAACTTCTGTAGATGACCTATCTGACAGTTTCTGATCCCCTATCATTTCAATGCTGGTGTGTTATAGGGCAGCAATAAAATATCATAACTGCATTTGCTTCCTTTTCTGCAACAGACATTTGATTTGTTGGTAGCCCCCATCGGGGCTGGCACTGAGCTCAGTGAGCTACATTCACTTTTAAAAAGCAGCATGAAAGGAAGAATACATCTGGAAAGTATCAGCGGACCTGCTGAGTAGATAATGGGACACGCAGGTATAAACGTGCAGCCATAATGGCCAGAAAGTACTCTGACATTCAAGTTGCTCAATAACCTTGATAACAGAAACCAAAGAACATCACTCAGTAGTTCCTCCATAACAGGAATTATTCTGTCTTCCTTTATTCTATCATTTAATAAATTTTATGTTCACTTCCTGCTGATGTTTGGCTGTTCTCTCTTTTACTGCCTGCATCTCTCTTTCCATTCTTATAGTATTTTCATCTTTGCTCTCCCACTTCATAGTTTTTCACTACTGCTTACCCCAGCAGTTTCTTCTGCTTCAACCATCCTCCTCCGTCTGTCCTGGTACAACATGTCCTGATAAAGACAAAGGAGGCAATGCTATGCTCTGAGGAAGAGCATGGTGTGAAGCAGGTACCAGAGCAAGCTTCCTTTGAGAGGAATTGGATATTACTAATGCAGCGAAAAACATGATAAAAGGCCCTGGGTATGGAAGAGTCATTTTACTTCCTTTCAAATTATAAAAATGATAATAATAATAATAAAAAATGTAGGTCCATTAAGAAAAGGGATGTTCTACAGAGGGTGTAAGGAGGAGTATAGTTACCCCTTAACTGTGATCAGTTTTTAATTAATGCACGCTCATTTCTGCCAGGGATCAGTGCTGCATTTATGTTCTGTGTTAAAGAAGACACAGCTTCACCAGTTTCTGGAGCTTCTGATGATTTCAGTGAGAGGAAGACTAAGCCATTCTGATGAGCGGCTCTTCAGGGAGAGACAGGCAGAATGCATGCACATGTAAATTTTCTCAGCAGAAGGCTTCAGTGGGAAGTATTAAGTGATAGTGAAACCCTCAGTTGTTTACAAAGATATTAAGCTACCAGGATTTGTTCCTGCTCTCCTTGCCCAGCAAGGAAACCAGAGCAGAAGGCACAACAGAAATGCTCAGCCAGAGGTAGGCCACAATCCACAGCACAAAACAGGTTTACTCCCACATATGAAGAGATGGACACCTGCTAGTTAACAGGAGAATCGGATCTGTACAACATCCTGAAGGAAGAAGTTCCCAGAGTGGTAAATAGTAAACCCACCAAGGAAAGCTTCCTGGATGGCATCCCAGCAAGCACTATGTACACACACAACGCTCTAGAAAAGTCAGGCCCCAGCTAAGTTACCTGGTGCATTAAAGTGACCCTGATAGGAGAGATCAAAATAGATGAAGTTATTTTGAGATTAGGAGAAATGTTAAATCTTGGAAAGGGATGTATGACAGGTGTTTAATGTTTCCTCAACAGATGCATGAGCTATGCGTGAGCTCCCTTACTGCAGCAAGCACATTCCTCAATAGATTCAACTAGCAATGTAGGATTTAAGCCTCAACAAGCAACTGTATGACATTTGAATGAATAGAGAAGCTCAAAGTAATAATAAAAAAATCTGTTCCCAAGCTCAAACAGCAATCTTCACCAGGGAGACTTAGAGATATCTGAGTCTTAAAAGAAAGTCGGCCAAGCATTGTGACAGCTTGATACAACCTCTCACTGTTCACTGCTTTGTGTCATTAACTCCAGCTTAACCAGTGCCCTGGATTCAGTGCATGCTGCAGCAAGAAAGAGACAAGTTTCTTCGCTGACCTAGATGGAGGACAGTTATTTTCAGGTTATTAATGTGCACTTCTCTTGCATTCTGTGAGGTAGGCCTGTTTCTTTTCCACTATGAACCACTGACATCTAGCTGTGTACTGACAGGCTGATATCACACTTGGACTGAACATTAGGGGGATTAAAAAAAAAAAAAAAAATGAAAGTGAAGAAATGTCAGTATTCCCATTGCAGTGCCCACCATTGAGTCATGAAGCTGAACTTACTTTTTCTGTTGCTGAGCTCGCTCTGTGCAGCATCTTCAGTTATCACAACTCCTCAGCAGAATAGAGCTCTGGATCCAAACGTCAGGTGCAAAGGCAGGTACTGGGATAACACAGACCTGCATAGGCTGTTAGCAACAAAGCTGCAGTATCTAATATCTTGGGCTGCAACAAATCTGAAAGAAAGTACAACAGCCAAACCAAACCTTAGGCAGCTTCATGAATACCTCAAGGGTCAGAAGTACACGTAGAAAGATGTCTATACTAGCTTGCTTAGGAAGAAGAGAGGTATGGCCAGACCAGGCAACAACTGAGAACACGTTCACCTTCCTTGGCCTGGCTCTTAGAGTGCTTACACTTGATGAAGAAAGCAGCATGTTTCCACAGAGAATATTCTTTCTGTGTCTCTCACTTTGATAAGCACATTTAAAATCTAATGCATCTCAGTGACTGAGCCTGCCTCTCCCTGCAACCAAGGGAGACGAGAGCACAGAGATAGCGCAGGGTCAGTTTGCATGTTTTACTGGTTCACCAATTACACATTCCTAAGCATTTGGCCAATTCCTCTCCCCAGCTGCTAAGCAGTTGGCATAATAACCAGTAAAATTGTCATCAGCCAAGTTTAAGAGAGCTTACACATTTCCCATCGTGATACTGCTGACAAAAATATCCTCGCAGATGCTACACACAGCACTGCAAAGAGAGCCACACTCATAGCAAGAGCAAGCTGGTGAGACCATAGTGTTCATTGCAATACTGGAAACAGTTTTTCCATTCTCTCCCACACGCACTCATTACATAACACCTTGTTTAGGAGTCTCCTGAGCAGCTTGTACAAACAAAACAATAGATTTCCATACTTAGCAGCCTCAACATATTCAGTGAACATTAGCTAGTTAATAGGCAGTTTGCCCCCTCAAGTCATGGGGTACATAAGCTGTGACACCAAAGACAGCTGAGGAAGATAGAGAAAGAAGAGATATAAACAAGAGCAGAGCCTGACCCAGATGCTAGGGAAGCTTTCACAAATACACTGATAACATGTAAAGTTTATTTGGGGTACAGAGGTGCTTTATTATATATTTAAACTGACACTGATTAAGAACACCCTCATTGAAGCATGCATAACATGGTGAGCGTGTACATCTTAAAGAGAAAGATTAAATAGTCTTCCCTGCTGCAAGAGACAAATAGTAAAGCCAGTCAACAAAAGCTTCCATCATAACATTGAGTGTTATCTTCCTAACTGTCTTCAGACATGGCAAAAAAAGAGAAAATATATCCAAAAACGATACAGGAATCCTGTGTGCTCCAAGGGTGCTCTTTCCTGGACCGCTGTTTCTCTAAGCCTTTCTTGTATCTGCAGTTGTGCCAAAGAAAGGGGCAAGGCACTGACAACAGTGATGCCTCTCCCCAGCCAGGTTTTTTAGCTACCAGCCTCCAAAACAGCCCTTGCAGGCTGCAGAACCCAGAATGCCGACTGAGCATTCAGCCCTGGAAGACTGCATCTTCCAAAGCTTGCTGCTTGCAAGGTGATAGAATGTCTCAGGTTTGCCAGCTATGCTGTGGTCACATTTAAACTTTTTAGTTAAACCAGATGAATTTTGTAAGATGTAGATAATTGGTTATTTGGCAACAACAACAGGAAGAAGAAAAAAAAAAAAAAAAAAAAAAAAAGAGGAAAGAAAAAGAAAGAAAAAAGCCACAACCAGCACCAACATTGATGGCTGCCTTCCCTCTGACCTAGTCAGACTGACTTCCGTGCTTTGGGCATGAGCTGTAACTCCTAGCCATCTTACCTCAGCATAGGTCACACAGCTTTCCAGATTGGAGGAAACCCTTTACACAAGCCTGGGTCATCCTTTGCTTTCTCTGCAGCAGAGCTGAGACTCTGGGAACTGTTGCCATTAACATTTCACCTTTTCTGTAATATATGCCAATACAGACATGGGAGGTTGCTGCTGAAACCTACTACATTGTTAACAATTATCAACTCACGTATCTGGTATGATGCAGTTTCACTCCAGAAAAAAACCTCTGAAACTCTCATGATTTTTCATTATGAAGGCATCAGAGGCCAACCTCTGCCTAAGAAGTTCTTGCCATCATTCCAAACTTTCTCCACCCCCCTGTGCAAACTCAAGTTATGGCAGCATCGTGCTCAGGCATGCATGGTAATAGCTTGCCAAACAGACATGAATTTTGCTTTTTAGGCTGGAAAAAAAAAAAAAAAAAAGGAAAAAAAAAAGCACAAACCAGAAGCAAAACGGTTTAACAAATACGATACCAGCAGCAGATGTCCTGAGCAGCTGTGTTGACACAGCAAAGGGAGCAACACAGCATGGTAGGAACTGCACAGGCTCCTGCTGCTGCTGGAGCACCACACTGGGGGCAGCACCTTGGATGGGCCAGGAGCCAGCACAGCATGAAATGTAACCACCAGCCTGATGAGGAAACGGGGGAGTGTTTTTCTTCAAATACATCTTGCCTGTCAGTGTTAACTGAAACTGCTGTAGGAAGACATCCTACAGCCCCCTAGGGAGCTGCTGTTGCTTTTCAAGGCAGGGGATTCAGTTTATGACACAGGTCAGCATTTCAGCATTACCTCACCCTCTTAAGTTTCAAGAGAAAGTTGCCATGCTTATGCAGACGCAATGGCTGATCTTAAGGCTACTCTCAAAACAATCACCTAATATCCACACTAGAAACCACTCATCTCCATGGCTCCTAGCAGCCAGTGATATTGGCACTGACTGGATACCTACACTCTCCCCCATTTGACTTTTCACAGCCTTGCCTCTAGAATATATTTTGCAGTTTACAGACGTACTGCAGGCTTAACACACTGAAAGACCCCCAACTGCAGCTTTACATGCAGTGCCTAGTTACAGGCTTCTCACCCTCCATTTAAACTCCCTAGCCAGTCTGCACAGAGAAGAAACTATATCCATTTCCACTGGAGAAGAAAAACCAGGAGAAATCTGAGTTGCTTTGGAGAAAAAAAAGAAAAAAAAAAAAAAAAAGCCACACCATCTGAATGACTACAGGTAAAATACAGGAAACAGGCTCCCAAATATTGAGCTGGTAGGGTCTGTCTGGAAGTAGTTCTCCAAGTAACTTTTTTGTCTGAATGGATTAATATATCTGAACCTGGTGGACAGTAGGACCTTCCTGTTCTATGCTACAAGCAGAATAAATGAAACAGTGATGCACAACAAGCATTAATACTGGTATGTCCTCAGTAGTGCTATAGTCTCAAGTACAGACCCAATAGCGCTCAAGCAGTCTTTCCAGTTACATAGGTGCAGAACACAATCTTTAAAACGTCTTGGGAAAGGTCATTTTCTGGATTGCACTTTATCATGTAAGTTTGCTTGATCTGGATCCTAATAGAACGAGCCTCAAAGAGACTAAGGAGAGTTTTATTAGAATCACACTTAAAACAACTTTACAAATCCTTAAGGCTGAATTGCTGTCAACATTTATGCACAGTGTATAGAAGGCTCCTGAGATGGCACTCTGAATGCAGAGACCAAGGAGACAGTGCCAAACACAATCCTCAGCCCAATGCACATGTGGTGATGCTGAAGTTACAGCACAACACTATTTCATCATTCCAGTATTAGATAAATCATCAGCTTTACCATCACCGTGAACAAGCCCAGATGAAGTTTCTCAGCTGCTGTCAGATGAAGCAGACTTTCACACACTGAATAAGGAGATTCCAGCTACCCACCCATCTGCTTTAAAGGCAACAGGTAGTGGAATGAAGACCATCTGTTTGATGCAGCAAATATTTCATGGAAAGGCATAAGATAGAGTCCTTCTCACAGTTATTCATAAAAGCAGTCCGACTTCTTTCTTCTGAAGAATGTTGATAGGGAAACTTAAACACCTTTCAGCCACCCACCTAGATAGGCATACAAATATAGACCAAAAAATATGCAGAGCACTGGGCTGGGGAAAAGAAGCCAGCAACAGCAACACAAGCTGGGTGTGTGGCAACAGCTAGAACTCCTGCGAATGGCCATTTTTGTGGGGTGGCTTAAGTGTCACTGTCTTCTTAGGAACAAGCTCAGGAAGAACATTAGGTAGCACCCCTCCTTCAGCGATGGTCACACAGGAGAAGAGCTTGCTCAGCTCATCATCATTTCTCACAGCCAGCTGGATGTGCCGGGGCAGGATCCTGGCCTTCTTGTTTTCCCGTGCAGCATTTCCTGCCAGCTCCAGGATCTCTGCAGTCAGGTATTCCAGCACTGCAGCCATGTAGACTGCAGAACCGGGGCTGATCCTGTCAGAGTAGTGGCCTCTCTTCAGGAGCCCGTAGACCCGGCCCACAGGGAACTGCAGACCAGCCATGGCTGATTTCGTTTTCTTTGACACAAGAGGGAGCCTTGTGTTTTCATTCTCACGTGCAGACATTCTAGCGTCAATCTAGCGTAAGGAAAGGAAGAATTAGCAATAAGGAAAAACAACAGAAATTGAGTATTTAAGTCTGTCCTCCCTTCCTTGTCATTCCACTGCCTCTCTCATTCCTGAGAAGTCGTTTTTTGTTTCTCAAGAAGTTTGCTAGTTGTTTCACGTTCCTGTCTGGAGGAGCAGATGTGTTAGGCTGCTTCTCCATGAAACTGACGTGTTTCCAGCCAAGGGACACCTACCACCTCAGTCAGAGCAGAGGTCAGCTTTCTGCTAGGCTCCTGAACTTCTCAAGAAAGAGATGTGGAACAGGGAACAAGGTTTTCTGATCCAGTATCAGAGGAGCACTGCTGCTAAGGAAAAAGGTTAAGCAAACAAGGCTTCAAGATGCAACAAGCATTCAGAAAGCCTGCAGGGAATCTTCACTGAACTTACCCCTAGCAGAAACACGAACAGCTTCTGTAACCATGTCCTCCAAGCAAACAGCTAAAAATTTGTATGTTTTTCTGATGTAACAACAGAAAAATAAACAAAAAAATCCCCTTCATCTGCTGGAAACCACTTCAAACAGAGCCTGTCTTCTAAAGACGAGGAGACCTATGCTGCAAAGTGACAGGCTACAAACAAAAACAAGACTTACAAAGAAGAGAAGCTGTTTTTACATTGGAGACTGAAATTGTTCTACACTGTATACTGCAGCAGATTACTACAAATACATGAGTGCCATCTACTTGTATACTGTTTCTCTTTTTATTTTTCTCTGAAACGAGCCTCCATTACTTATTACTGATGAAGTTCTTAGCACTGAATAGCACCAGCTCCTCTTTGATACATAACAAAAAAAAGGCAAATATAGGAAAATCCCACCCCTATGCAGAGGATTGCTTTTAAGTTTCAATTGTAAGCTGTTTTGAAAAAAAGGAGGGACTTCCCTCAGACTTCAGGAGAAACTAAATCAAATATTATATTAAAGCTCTTTGAAGTATAATAATAGAAAGGCTTTTATAGATTTCTGAGGACCCACCCTAGAAAAAGGGAGCTTTAGAATTAGCCTAGATAAACAAAGCTAAGATTCACTTTAAACAACAGCCTTACACAAACAAACAAACCAATTATAAAAGCCACTACCTCATTCAGTAGTGGCTTTTACTCATCCAGTTCATTTCCAACACAAAGAAGGACACCCTTAAAGAAAAAATCCTTACCAATACAAGTTGCTTTAGGCCTTCTCTCCAGAAAAACCACAACCAAAACAAACCTCCCTTTCTCCCCACAGCTGCCACCTTTTTAAGCTCCAGACTGGCAGCCATATCATCAGCAGCTTTTGCCTCATTTAATGCCACCTGAGTGAGTGAAAATTCAGCCTCTCAAAATGACAAACAATGAAAGTTATAACACTTGAGCAACACAGTGCAGTTCTTAAGAGCAGGTGAATTTGGTACTCTTCCTTGAAAAGCTGCTTTGCATTATCAGCTAATTTTCTCCTCTGAAAAGACACATTATTTACTGCCTTGAAGAAGGGTGATACCTCTGACTGGCAATTCATTTATTACAGCTGTACGGGGGCATACTGCACCCTGCTGCACTCATCAAGAATTCAACCTAGTAGCCTCTACTGTGGTTGATTTTGCTGCCAGCAGTGGCCAAACTGCTTTATGAGCACATTACAGAGCTTGGGAAAGGCTCAGGACCTCTGTTTGCCTCCATTTCATGGTTTGTCCTCCTTTGTCACGCAGTTCATTTTTTTTCCAAAGTCATGCGTAGCTGTGTTGCAAGGTTTTATATGTTCTTTCAAGGGTTGAGTGTGTGGTGACAGCTGAATCTATTATTTCTCCAACGTATGAATGCTGAAGGGTTGAGCCTAGGCCCAAAAGAAACTATCACTAGCAGCTGAGCTAGGAGGCATCCATTCTCAGACATCCAAAGCCAGAGGGGTGTTTTCAACTCACTCTGCAATCTGGTTAGTTTATGAATGAATTAAACTACTGGCTAGAAAAAAACAAATGAGATTGTTCTCAATGAAAGAAATTCTGAAAAAATAGACCTTGGAATTCACCACAAACTCAGTCTTTGGGGATAGGGCCTTTCTTCTCCCTCAGCTCTTTCATCACACAGAAAATGTCAAGTAAAGGCCTTTCCAGTAGCTGCATGAACACTGGATGTGCCTCCGAGGGTCTGTTTGGTGCAGCGCAGAGCAGAACCACAGAAGCAGTTTTCATCCTGGAGCAGCACTCTGAAACATAGCTGTCTTGATTAGCAGAAGGCTATAACTGCCACACTTAAACCTGCATGAAATGAGTATCTTGCTTGAATCTTCTCTCATTACTGCAAGCTTTTAGATTTTCGCTTCACCGAAAGAAATAATCATTCCCGCCATTGCTTTGCACAGTCAAATAGCGGGATTCACTTGACTTTCACATGTTCATTTCACATATATGTCCTTTAAACCTTTTTATTTTATTTTTTTTCCCCAGTTAGCAGCACAAGGCTAAAGTTGCATGTAGGACAAGGGGGATTGGAAGGAGCAGCCTTAAGTTGTGCCAGTGGACGTTCAGGCTGGATACTGGGAAAAACATCTTCTCCAAACAAATGGTGATGCAGTGGCACAGGCTGCCCAGGGAAGTGGTGGAATCATCGTCCCTGGAGGTGTTCCAGAACCGTGTGGATGTGGCACTGAGGGACATGGTCAGTGGGTAATACTGATAGTAGGCGAACACCTGGACTAGATGATTTTTGAGGGCTCTTCCAACCTTAATGATTCTATGATATAGTACATTTTTATGCACAAAGCTGCAGATCTACTCCCAGGCATTTTTACATTTCTTTGCTCCAGCATCCCCCACTTTCTCACTTCAGTGAAATGCGTAGGCCAACCAAAAGCTCATCAAATTGATCTTTGCAAACAGGCTGTGTACAACTCCTTCAATTGCCCACTACTGTGAAAAATTCAAGATGTTTGCTTTGCTCAGGAATCCTTCTCCTTTCCCACTCTTACTTAAGTGCAGCTTTGAGTTGTTTATGTTATGAATCACTACAGCTCTAAAGACCCTCAAAATTGTGAAAGCTGACCTGTAGGCTCTGGTATACTCATGCTTTGAGGGCACCTAGGTCAAATTCAACATGACAGGCATATCTTACATAAAACAGGTTTTCACTCTGCCTGCAGGTTAGGAAGATGGTTCTAACCAGCTCTTCTCTGTAAGATGCTGTGAAGTCTGTGAGACAGTACCTCAAAGGCAGACTGATCCTAATACGCTTGCACCAGATCTTGTTTCCCCACTCAATAGCAAACCTCAATATCCACTACAGAGTGAGAAGCCTAGAAATCTTCTCAAGGGAAAGCTTTCACTTTCAGTGAGTTAGTTAGAAAAGGCCTAGGAGTTTGTTTGGAGGAGAATATATTTGTTATTCTGCACCACTAGAAAGAAGCAAGAGAATCACCTCCACCAACAGCCCAAGGTTTAAATAGTCACCGGGTAGCCAGTATAGCAAGGAGGAGAAAGAAGTTTAGCCTCCTATGAGAGATAGCTCACTGCAGCTCTCCAAGCAGTAAAGCATTAAAGCAAAGGGTAATCAACTCTAAAGCAGAATTAACCTGTGAGGTGCTAAATTAACTGCACTGAGGCCATGATAAATGTTCACATGAACATGTCTTGATTCCTCTGCCTGCTCTACAACCTTTACCTGAAAACATATTATAGAAGTAAACAAGCAATTTTAAAGAGTTACTTGGGTGGTATGCTAGACCAAGAAAATAAGGCAATCACATTTCTGTGGAAATGAAGCTGTGGAAAGAAAGGAGAACAGTGTTGCTTTCTGGAAATTTTTATTACAATCTTTAAAAATGCATTAAAAACAGTGGAAAAAAAATTACAAAGAATTAAACAAATTAGTGCTGAGTCCCATTATTCAAAAGTGCACAGGTCAGACCAGAAAAGGCAAGTTTCACTGGCTACCAGATTGTTCCTTAGGCACACCAGTATTTTTGGAAGTTTTCTTGGGAAGGAGCTGAGGGAGGATATTTGGCATAACCCCTCCTTGAGCGATGGTCACACAGGAAAAGAGCTTGCTCAGCTCATCATCATTTCTCACAGCCAGCTGGATGTGTCGGGGCAGGATCCTGGCCTTCTTGTTTTCCCGTGCAGCATTTCCTGCCAGCTCCAGGATCTCTGCAGTCAGGTATTCCAGCACTGCAGCCATGTAGACTGCAGAACCGGGGCTGATCCTGTCAGAGTAGTGGCCTCTCTTCAGGAGCCTGAAGACTCGACCCACAGGGAACTGCAGACCAGCCATGGCTGATTTCGCTTTCTTTGGTGCGGCTTCAGGCTTGCTAGCCACGGTAAGCTTCTTCCCTCGCCCAGACATTCTGAATAGCACAGAGAGACAAAGAATTGGAGATTTTCACTGTACCCAGGTGCTTAGGATACAGGTAACTGATAACAAGAAGAGATAACAGCAAGGATAGTTACACTTTGTTCTCTTCTACATCAAGAAGAAAGCTTGTTCCTTTCATGAGGGTAGGAAGAGCTACTCACTTAAGTTCATTAAAAACAGATCTAGGATAACTGCTACTGCCCCATAGCAGCCTATTTTTGAGGGAGCAAGAGTGGTTTGAAAAGTTATCAGTAAGACTTACTGAAGCAAATGTAAAGAGCTCAGAAAAGCAGTTTTTCAATTATTAGAATGTACTGGAGATTGAGACAAGATGGACCACCTTACACAAGGTTTGTCTTAAACAATAACTTATCTCAGTGCTAGCTAAAGGCCAAGGCTGCCTCTTTTTCCAGGAGAACTCAGTATTCAAACTTCCTTTATTGTTATATTAGATTTTCTGAATTCACATTAAATACAAAACTTCAAGGACTTATACAGCCCACAAAGCCTTATCTGAGGGAGACCAAGAGATTTGCACTATAGTTTCTAAATTTATTCTTAAATAGATTTTTCTGGTTGCCATAGAACGATGGAGACTACTGTGCATGAGAGAGAAAGAATCAACTTGGACATAGTGTTATTACAAACATAGAAATAGATTTTACTGTCAATTTACTAGAATAGCAATCAAGAAATTCAGTTCAGCTAGAAAATATCTGCAATATATTTTATCTGCAAATATTATATAAAAATATATTGCAAATATCTGCAATATATTGCAATAACTACAATAGTTAAAGTGGTAAAAATACTTGATTATCCTATTTATTCAGACTTAAGATATTGCTTAACTTCTAGTACAACTGTTTATAATATAAAAGAACACATATCATTAGACTAACATAATTTGTGTAGTTTTTAAATAGAGAAGCTTAAATACTTAAGAAATAACAGAATAAAGTTTCAAAGGGAAGAAGCAAAACAAAAAGCTTACCCTGTATCAAAGTCTAAACAAAGCCAAACTATAGCTTATTACCTCCACCTTCAAACAAAAGTTTTTAGGTTAGCTTACATTGCAGATATACTATGTTACACATACAGTTTCTCTACAAAGTCACCCCAACTTTTTCCCTGAGCTTTATAGATGAAAATGATATCCTGTTACCTTCCAAAGAGATATTTTTAAGCCTAATTTGTGCTTTGCTATAGCCTACAGTCAGAGGCAAACAGTCCTGAAAAAAACCATTTCCCCTAACCTGGAGCAGTGACTTTTATGAGCAAGATTTTCTCCCCATTAGTGGGGTCACCTGGACAATTAATGAGTCATTCCCACATGTGGTTCATCTTCTTCCAAACACTTGACTGGAGGGAAAAGGAAGAAATACAGTCACTCTGAGGTAAATCCTTCTTGGAGTGGGAGTCTAGGCTGTCTTCAAAGGCTAAACTACACTTATAATCTCTGTGCTCATATCAACTCTTAGTTGTTGGGGATGGAATATTTCTGTTCGTGTACCGCATGTAAAAATCAATCCTTCCTTTCCTGCTAAGGCTTGATTTAGACAAGTATATAAAGGAAATGTGAGTTTTAATCAAGAAAGAGGAAGGGAAATAGAGTAACGTGGGTGCTTTCTAGGCAGAGGAGGCCTTTCAGCAAAGAGAATGGAGAAAGACTGTTAGCTTCACGTGTACTCTGTGAGCAAAACCCCCTGAAATGATGTGAAGGGAATGCTTCTAAGGTGTGTGATGCTTCTGGTAACTCAGGACTTAATCTGAGAATATTGGCTTCTGGTGCTCAGGGTCATTGGTTAGTTCCTCTGAATTGACTTGGGTAAGAATCTTACCTAATACAAGTGAGTATTTTCGTACAATCACAGAATGGCCTGGGTTGCAAAGAACACAGTGATCATCTGGTTTCAACCCCCCTGCTATGTGCAGGGTGGCCAACCACCAGACCAGGCTGCCCAGAGCCACATCCAGCCTGGCCTTGAGTGCCTCCAGGGATGGGGCATCCACAGCCTCCTTGGCAATCTGTTCCAGTTACCACTCTCTGTGTGAAAAACTTCCTTCTGATATCTAACCTAAATTTCTGCTGTCTCACTTTAAGACCATTCCCTCTTGTCCTATTACTATCAACCCACGTAAATACTCATTTCATTCACCTTGTAAATAATGAGTGTACTTTTTGTGCTTATGCCCTTTTTGTATTTGTTTCTAGGTATCCAAAATAGGTTCCAAGAGCAACATGCAAGAACCACATGCATGAATGGTATTTTCAGCTTCAGAAGATGGTATTAAACCAGCAGGGCCCCTTTAGAGCTCAGGCCCCGACAAAACATTTGTATGCTGAAAGGTGCATAAGCAGGTAAGCCTTCCGTTCTGCTTGCTAGCTGTTAACTGTGGGTCAGAACCAAAACACTTTGGCTCCTAGAGGGGGCCTGAAGTAGATTCCAAAATTGCAATTCTAAAAACCTCAGCACAGATGCTGGCTTCAAAGTTCTTATGTAATCTATAATCGTGGCTCCAACACCACTCAGACAACCACGGCTTCCACAGTGATGGACATTTGTCGCACCTAAACATCAAGTTGAGTCTTCCTGTCCTTCAGGGCCATAGGAGGTGGATATGGAACACATTCCATGCATCCAAATATTCATTTTAACCATCAGTGTCAACTGCAGCTGTGGCTATCAATCTCAAAGGGAGGACAGGTGATTGTGCCTTCCATTCAGTAGAACAGGCTAGCAGTTAGCACAGAAAAAACCTAGCTGGGTTGCAAGGAAACATAAATTTTTATTTCAGTCCCTTGGTGGAGCACAGAAAAAGAACAACACAATCTCAAGGCCTGCAGACTGGCTGTGTGAGGTAGTTTCTGGGGACACAGGACGAAGCTCCCCATTCCTGAGCGTGCTGGCTAACGAACTACAGCACAAAAATGAAGAAAGAATTTTTTTTTTGCAGGATTCGAGGTGTGTTTTTAGGGAATGGGGTGCTGGCCCCAATGGAACAATGAAAGGATGGATTTTCCTACACGTCTGTGTGAAATCCAAGCTCCAGAGGGGCTAGGGATCTCATACCCAGCCCACTCCTCTGTGGTGCTCAAAACCAATGTCAAAGTGACAATCTAGGCACCACCTGAGGGTGGCTGGGCACAGACTCCCCAGCTCAGCGATCACAGCCCCAAACTGCTGGATTTCAGTCCTTTCCTTCTAATGTGGAAAGGACTGCCTGGATTTTCAAACAGCTCGCTTGCGAGAGGCAGACGAGAGACCCACAGTCCGTAGCCGTATGACACACGCTCAGCGTCAGCCGTGGAGCCGAATGCACCGAGCCTCCAATCGGGAGTGGGCCGCGTTCACAGCAAGCCCTGCCTTATTAGGCGCTCCGGGAAGCGGCAGTGGCGACACGGGCTCCGCCTCACCCCCACCCCGTCCGGCAGCGCCGCCTCTCCGCGCCGCGCACGCCGGGACTGGCCCTGCCCAGCGCCGCCGCTCTCCGGGCCGCGGTCCCGCAGGCAAGATGCAGGTGAGAGCTGGAAGTCGCGGCAGTCCGGCCCTGCCCCAGTCCCCGTGGCGCGGGGGAGCCCGGCGGAGCGGCGTGCAGAGCCGTAAGGGCCAACGGCCTCGGCCCCGGGCCTTCCCGATGCTCCTCCGAGCGGGGCTGCGGCCGTGCGTGGCGTTGTGGGGCGCCGGGTTGGGCTCTTCTCTCTTTAAGGGCGGTGTGCGTTTTTTGCTGTTGTAGTAAGCAGATGTCGGTGGGTGGCTTAAGCGCTTCTGCGTGTTGACAGATGGCAGGAGTGCTAAAAAGTCTGCAAGTACTGTGCCTTGGGGTAGAGAAGAGATGTGGTCTCACAGAGTCACAGAATTGTAGGGGTTGGAAGGGACCTCCAGATCATCTAATCCAGCCTCCCTGCAAAGCAGGCTCCCTACGGCAGGCTGCCAAAGCAAAACCAACCTGGTGTGTAACTTAAAAACATTTCTACTGAGTTTCTCAGCAACGCAGGGGTGCACATTGGGCTTTTTTGGGGGGGGTAGGGGGGGATTATTGGAACTTCATTGCGAAGGCTTTTAAAATTCAGGAGCAACCTCAGTACAGACCTAGATATGTTCCCTCACAGTGGCCTTACCTTGAGAGACTGTGTGCACTTCCCTCCAAGCACTGGCTTAGTAGTGATCACAGCACTTCCAGACCTTGTACCCTGCCAAGATGTGCTCTGGAATAGAATCAAGTTACTTCTCATGGGACTACAAGGCAACCTTGGTGTCAGGAGGATGCATGCTGTGGCTTTCTGATGCTGTCCGGATGATTTCACTTCATCCCTGTGCTGTTTCCTGAAAAACTTGCTTGAATGTAGAAAACTCTCCTCAAATACCTGTCATCCACTTCTTGTTTTACTGTAGGACCCAGAGAAAGACACCGAGTGGAATGACATCCTGCGCAAGAAAGGTATCCTTCCTCCAAAGGAAAACAGAGAAGAGCAGGAGCGTGCAAAGGAAGAGGAGCAGCTTGAAATCCTTCAGAAATCTCTTGGTGGGTTCATGTGCCTGTGAAGCAGTGTGTCCTCTTCTAAACCTGTAGGGCATACCAAAACTAATTCTTGTACAGGGTTAGCTGTACAAGAACACCTTGTACAGGGTGTTGCATCTGTTAACAGTATCAGACAAATACGTTCCAGAATATATGGCCTCTTCCAGAGCAGGAAGACTCTCTTCTTGATGACAACTCCATGATTTTGAAATGTTTACGTGTATACAGTTGCAATAAGAACTGTCTCAGTGGAGTATGTTTATGAATGTACAAATAAAACATCTCATAAACATGATCATTGTATGCATCCTCCATTATTAAGCCATCCCTGCTGTATTATATGTTTGTGCTGCAGTCACAGAGCTTGAAAGCTAGCTGTGGTTCTTCTGTACCAGCATAGCCAGCCTTTGGCTTAGAATCGTTGTTGTCTTTACATCTGTGTGTATAGAGTTCATAATATTTTCTAAAAAAAAAAAAGTAGTGTAATATTGGAGAGGAAAAAGACATATTTCCCATACATAAAATATATTTCCCATACCTAAATTCTGTTAGACTGAAAGGCTGATGAGTTTTGTTCCCAGAATGATATATTTGCTGATTTGATGTTGCTTCTCTTCTAGTGAAAACGTATGAGGACATGACTCTGGAGGAGCTAGAAGAAAACGAGGATGAATTTAATGAGGAAGATGAGAAAGCTATTGAAATGTACAGGTTAGAACATCATGTGGAATTTGGCTTTAATGAAATCTTTTTTTTTTTTTTTTTTTTTTTTCCCCTTGTGTATCTCTTGTGATTTCTACCAGCTAGCTTGGTAGCGTAGCATCTGCAGAAGAAGTATCAAATTCCTTTCATGGAGCACAATTGTACTTACTGCATGTTGATGCTCAAAATGTGGCTCAAATATAATAACATCTGTAGCCTACTTCAACTTGCTTTTATCGCTTTGGGGTTTCAACATATTTGTGACCTGCTTCTAAAATCTGGGTTTCAGTCAGGTACTTTAAAATGTATCTATTTTTAAGATCTCTTTCCCATTCTCTATTGTTCAGACAGCAAAGATTAGCAGAAATGAAAGCAGCTCAAATGAAGAATAAATTTGGAGAAGTTCTGGAGATTTCAGGAAAGGATTATGTTCAAGAGGTTACGAAAGCTGGGAAAGGTATATGGGTAGTCCTGCACCTCTACAAACAGGGGTAAGATCTTAATTATTTAACCTCTAAACCTTTCATGGCTCCTGACAAATGTACAGTTAATGTGGAAATCGAGGAACTGAATCTGGAGTTAAAAGAATTGTTATTAATTTGCTTTCTGTTGGCTTCAAGACAGCTCAGCTTTGTTGTTGAAATGGTGTTACTGTGAAGTGATGCTGTTGGTATCTTAATTAAAAATGGACAGCAAAAAATGTAACAACAAACAAAGAAAAGAAAAAGCCACATCAACTTCTAGTGGTACTAATTTAATGGGAATGCTAGAGAACTGAACAAAAGTAGTCAGAATTGCTTTCAGTACATTGGTCTTCCCACTGAACTGTTATTTCTGACTCTTTTTTTTTTCTGGAGAAGATTGCTATCAAATGAGTCTTTTTTTAGTTTTTCTTATACATGTCTCTTGCTGTTCTTGACAGAATTCCACTCTGTGCCTTAATAAACCAACATTTAAGTGGACTTGCGAAAAAGTTCAGAGATGTGAAATTCATCAAAGCTATCTCTACCACCTGCATACCCAACTATCCCGATAAGAATCTGCCTACGATATTTGTCTACCTTGAAGGAGACATCAGAGCTCAGTTCATTGGGCCTTTGGTATTTGGTGGCATGAACTTGACGAAGGATGGTGAGTGTCTGCATCCAACTGCTGTGAACATCTTTGCAAGAAGCTAAAGAGGTGGAGTGAGAATTAGGAGAATGGAGATCGCTAAGAGCCGCGTGATGAGTTGGTTTTGCTGTTATCTTCTCCCCACCGTTTGGCTCAACAACACGTGATAGCAATATTGTAAAAGCAGCAAGTATAGGCCAATGTAAAGGTATTTAGAAAGCTGTGGATTGCAGGAGGTTGGCAGGGAGTAACATCATAAAGCAGTGCTTGGAGACAGGTATACAATGGAATAGGCTCTAATTGTTGGAAAGTAACTGGAACAAATGCCATTCCTGGACTTCACTGGAGGTAAAAGGAGGATACTTGTTGGCTTTCTGGGTAGGTGTGTCAGTACAGATACTTTCAAGCTTTTGCAAAGGCATCTTGATCTGAAATGAGCCGCAGATAAGGAGTACTTCAGGTTCCTGCTGAATGGTAGCAGTTGCCTGTGTTGCAGTAGGATGCAAAGAGGATTTTGTAGTGTGCTTTATTTTGTTCATTTAATAAAATCCGAAAGTTTGCAGGTTACACTGAGTACATGCTGTAGAAGATGCTCTGTTTGACGTGTCAGAAAAAGAAAAGCTCACCTGTGAAACCGCTAATTTGAGAATAACTAACTGTATATAGAGGTTGTCTCATTATACATTGAAAGGAACAGTGGTAGCAGAACACACAGTTATCTTTCCCCCATTTTTAGCACATAAATAATTGATTGAGCTAGCTTAATTCAGTCACAGAGAAAAGCTGGGCACTGAAATTCTGTACTTTTATTTCTTCCCTCTCTAATTCTAGGTGATTTCCATTGGAGATTAAGTAAAGTGTGTGCTTGCATTCGTTAGTCTGTAAAGTCTGAAGAAAATTGGGTTTAGTGATGGATTTTCCAGCAGGACTAGGAGAAAGGTTTCAACTGAGTGTGTTGTATTGACTTTCCTCTACTTCTGGGAAGCAATCCAATTTGGATCTACTTAGTAACAGGCACACTACTGATGGGCAGTTTTGTTTTGTTTTGTTTTTTTACTGTCTTGCAAATGAACTAATAATCAGTGCAAGGAGTAGCTGGAAAGGGGTGAATTGCACTTACGTAAGTATTTTTCAGGGATATACTTTACAATTCAGGTATATTGATGGAATAGCCTCAGTGGCTAAAGAAACGTAGCTATTCCTGCTTCTTCTGACTGTGCTGAGCTTGCTGTTTGATGCAAACAGCTGTAATCTCTCAGCAGTGCGTGTTCAAACCTGATTTCTCTCCTTAACTGGATAGAAGGAGGTTGTGTTCTTTCAACAGGGAAGTTGCCTTATGCAAAGCTGCTGCTCTGTGTCCACTGTCTCTGACATTCCCCGTTGTAAAGGGAGCCAGGAGGCACAAGGAATGACACTGCAGACTCAGAGTACTGCTCTGCAGACAGCCCAGGGCACAGAGCCACCCAAGTGGTTGAGATCTGAGTCAACACTCCTAATCTTGAAGGGAGGACTTGGCTGGAGTGGGGTGAGGGACAGGGCAGGGGAGCTGAGATGGGGTGGCAGGGGAGGGATAGAGTATGGCCCTGGTTTTGATGATATTCATGGTAGTGTGGTAAGAGAAGCCAGCTGGGGAAACAAGGTGGGAAGAACTGAGGAGAATTGTCACGATCAGAGGTCCTTTTTCCTTTTGAGAGTAAATCAGAAAGGTGAGGAGCTGTGTGTTGGGGTAAATAAATCAGCAAATATCAAAAGGTGTCAGAGATAGAAAACAGCCTAGTCTGCTTCCCCTTATTCATGACATTCTTATTTTGCTCTGTGTAGAACTGGAGTGGAAGATCTCGGAGTCAGGTGCCATCAAGACAGACCTTCAGGAGAACCCCAGGAAACAGATCCAGGACCAGCTCATGTCCTCCATTAGGGCATGTGTCCAAACCAGGGGAGAGAGTGACTCAGAGGATGACTAACTCCTGCATCAGCATCAGGATTGATACAGTACACTTGCAGCCAGTGTTCCTGCCTGAAAGACTGGAGGTGCTCATCAAGATCTTCCTGAACCCCAAAGTGGAACATTTCAAGACAGCCATTTATCTAGAAATTTAAAGTCGGTGGTTTTTTGATTTTGGTGATGTGGGTGTTTTTCCTGAAAAAAAAATTACTGCAGCTTCACTTGAGATCGTGAAAGACTTTTTATATTACAAAGCCTGAATAAATCTTACTCCAAGTTTTAAAATATAGGTATTGCTAGATACAAAAGTCTCTTGTTATTATTTTCTTAGTGAACTGCTGACGCTTTTTTTCTTTTTAACATAAAATATGAAGTGACCTAAAGCGTAATAGTTTGACTATGTTAGTATAAAAATTGATCTTAAACATGGTGAGTTACAGCATGGCACTTGGTCTTCTGTTAACCTGTCCTGTGTAGATGCTGGATGGAGAGAGGGGACTGTGGAGAGCTCAGGGAAGTGACATGGGTGCTGCTGAAAGCCACGTGTGGGCCCTTTGCAGTGGGGTGCTGGCAGAGGGGCTAGCACAAGTGGGAGAGCTGGGGGCCCCATTGTCTTCAGAGATGCATTAGTGATGGTCAGTATCTTCTTGGACCTGCTAAGTCCAGAACTCACTTTCATGTACGTGAGTTTGCTTAGCAGCAGTATTTTGCCTTTTGCAGCACTTCTTCAGGAAAGAAGATTCAAGATAATGGCATTCCAGTGTGAAATTACTGACTTCCACTTACAGAGAAGTTCAGTGCTTTACTACAATAATGCCATTGCCATATGGAAGGGAAAACAATGTTTGAAGAGCTAATCTTATCTTCCTATATTAAAGCAAAAATAAAATACTCTTCTAGGTAGAACAGTAATAATTGAAGTCTTAGTTCAACTCTATCTCTTCCTTTCCTGAATTATAGCTATTCTAACATTGAGCTGTGTGCTTATTTTGGATTGGAACAGTAGACACTAAAATCTTTCTCTTTGAGATCTGCATAGGGATTTGAGTGTAACTTAAGTCTTTTTTTTTTTTTAAACAACACTGTGGAAGTGAGTAAAATGCAGCAGGATACAGGCTGATAAATATTAGTTATTACATTTTGTATGTATTCACACATTTCTTGACAGTGGGCTATGCAAAGTGCTATCAGACCTGAGCCTTTTTGGTGCTTACCTGTGTCTCCTTACAATCTAGGAAAAGGACAGTTCTTTCTCTGCAGAAAAACCAATAAGTGACTTCTACAGAAGTCATTTACATTAAAAAGATTCTAGCAGAAGTCTGCATGGTTTTTCTTCGCTTGTCCTTTTTGAAGTGTGCATTGTTTCACACCTTGGAATGACCTCTGAGCGTATCAGCTGGGTTTCCTTAGGAGGATGCTAACGGAGAGGAGCAACCACCAAAGGGCATTTGATACAAAAAGTAAAGCAAGGGCTAGTTTGAAATAAGACCCTCTGTGAGATGGTTCGGTATGAATGTCATATCCTCAGCCTTTCTCTCTCCACATTTGCTGCTGTTAGCAGTTCAGCTGTCTTAGTGCAGGCACAGCTGCCATACTCTTCTTAATTTATTTTTAAAGCTTATCAACTTTCCAGTAAGGAGAGCAGAAACTCCATTTTGTGTCATTGCTGCAACATATTCAATTTAAAGTATAATCTAAAAAGTAGCTAGAGCTCTGGATGCATTTTTGCTTCTGTTACTAGCTCTCTTGAGCCTCTTTAAGGAAGGAGGATGGTGATAACTGCAGGGTAGGCTTTTGTGGTTTTCTGGACTGCTGGTTTCTCCTGTTATGGTCCGTGAATCAATACAGTATTCTGTCTTCAGTCTTTGCCTCCAGCACATCCTCTCTGTGCCTGTCAGGTACTTTCATCCAAGGACTTACAGAAATCTTGCTCTGGTTTGCCATGCACGTCTTCCTGTACTGATCATGTCTAGTCTCTATTCAGCACTTTCTTTTCAGTTTTTAAATACATATCTGTGACCAGGACAGGAGAGCCTATGTACTGCCAAACCCTAATTTCAGACCACTGATGAGGGCATGTATTTAATAGCATTGGATAGTTTGGAGGTGACCACGAGAGGTCTCTCACCAAGTCTCCTGCACAAAGCAGTTTGGACATGCACGAGAATGCACCTGCTACTGCTGATCATTGGGTAGCTGAAGGACAAAATGCATCTGATGACCAGACCATAGGAAATTGCTATGTGCTTATGACTTGTACCGTTTTTTACTCTGTATTCTTGTACATCCTGTACTCTGAGATGCTTGATGAGTTGACATGTGGGGTGCCGTTGGAGAATATCATCTTTAATGGTGTAGATGGAACAATAACAGAATACCAAAAGAGGTTGAAGGTTCTGCTGAGCTACTGACACTCATGCAGAGCATCATTTTTAATGGTCTCCGTGCTTCCTGGTATTTGGCTAAGTGTGAAAACAGTTCTTTGTAATCCTGTTCTCTTTCTTGCCAATTGTATTGTCCTGATCAAGGCCTTTTGTAGAAATTAGATCTCCGGTGGAGATGGATAATGAGCTCTGTTTAACCTTTCAGCACAGCAGAAACTACGGAAGCATTCAGGTAAGGGGAATGAGCTTTCATTTAAAAGGAAGCCAGTTGCTAAATAGCAAACCAAACCAGCCATTAGTATCCATAGCAGAATGAGGCAACGTAATGTGGGAAAATAACTGGGGAAACCGAATGCTCATTTGCAAAGATTTGGGGCACAGTCACTAAATGCACTTCTGATATTTTTGCAACCTGGCAACAATTAGTGTCAGATCAGTGATCTCTACTGTGCACTGAGGCTCTGGAGAGTCAAAGGCACTGATCTTGTAAAGCCTGCTGAGTTTCGTAGAAGATCCTGTTCTATGCAGTGCTATGAGAGCATCGCTGACTCATCCCACACAGCAGCAGTGCCTGAGGTGGGAAGAAAAGTAACCATGGGCCATAGAGAGATGCGGATGATTCACCATTAGTGGACAGTCACTCGAGTTCTTTCTGTGTGTGTGAAATGTGAGTAAACCTGTAGTCATAAGGAGTGCAGCCTTCACAATGTGGGTCTTAAATCTGCTGCTTACGTGGGTTTTATGTGCAGGCAGATTAAGTTGATGGCAGGCTGCCCTGATCCAGCTAAGTCTCCACTCTGATCTTCCTCTACCTCGATCTGCTTGCAGGGATGATCTGCACTCATCAAATCCTGCCAAACCTGGAGGGTAACAATTTCCATGTGCTTTATACACACAGAGCCTTGTGATGTGTACAAGCATGGTAACGAAGGGGAAAAGCCAGTTCTCCAGGTTCTTAGACCTACCATGGCCAGGGTACCTGTGCTTGGACACAAGTGTTCTCAGAAGCTGGATTTCAGGAGGTGATTTTCATCAACCAGCTGTATTTTTGTTCCTGTACTGCAAGTTCAATTTCACAATAGTTTATCACTATTCTCTCAAAATCCAGAAAGTTCTACACTTCGGAGTCTGTGTAGCAATATGAATTAGCATTTCTAATGCAAACCACAGTAACTTATCTTGGACTAACTTGTTTTGTAAGGGGGGCAAAAAGAAAAAAAAAAAACACCATAATATGAATCTTTTTCTGCATATTTATTGGGATTAGATCATGTCTAAAGGAACACTACTGTTGCTAAGATCAAAGGGGACCGCTTTCCCTTCTCTATATGCCAGTCACATCCTTTAAAACCACTGCATTGCTAAACCTAATCTATTCCCTGTCAATTGTTGGGAATGCAGCATGTATCCAGTTAAACTCATTCCTCATTGCAGCCCATTTTAAATCACTCTTCATTTCAATTTCATTTAGCTAATTCAGTCATCAAAGGAGTGCGAGAGGCATAAAGTACTTCATTGATGGGCTTATCTAGTCACAGAATTAGAAAAAGTACTGAATATCTTTGGTCTACTTGCAGGAGGCTTTTGTGATGCCAGGAGAGGATTCACTCCCTCCCTTGGAAGAGTTTTGAGCTTCAGATGAGAACCATTGAGAAGAAAATCCAAGCAGTAAGAGTCTCTCTAGACTTGTGTGGGAGATTGATGAGCGTTCCAACTTGTTTTCATGTAATGTGTTCAATCTTTCATTTCCTGACATGGCACCATTTTTTTCAGGCCTTCAGCAGATTAATTTTAATTTACAGAGCTGACTGACGGAATTGAGGTCTGATAAGAAATGGCAGGAAAAACATCAAGTAGTTCTGAGGTCATTTCCATTTCACACTTAATGTGTTAAGTGATCAAGGAATGACATAACTTAAAGTGGAACAATCCCATGTAATAGGTGTTAACAGACAATTAATGAGCTGAATGTAATCTTTACAATCAATATTTGTAAGCCTCTGGATCAATATATCTACTATAAGAAGCCACATTTCTTCCAGTACATTGAACAGCTTAAGCACAACATTATTTACGAGGCTCCAGCTTGTGGAGGCAAAAGTCACAACAGCTGCCAATGAGAGCAAGATTTTCCATACAGCTGCTGCTTACTTGTAAAGTGACACTGCCTCTTGCTATGGCATGTAGCAATGGGTTGATGGTTGGGCTAGTTGTGGTCCTTTCCAACTTTAATGATTCTATGATCCTGATCCCACTCATACCCATTGGAAGTACTGCCATCAACAAGGAAGGCAGCAGAACCAACTACATCGCAGTTTATCCATCTGCAAAATCATACAGACCACGTGGGAGTTGGGAGACCTCATCAATTACTTGCTCATATGAGGATGTTTGTTACAAAAAGCTGAAAGCAGTGATATTTAGAGCCTTCAAGGTGACAGCTGCTTTCTGTAGCATTGTTGTTCCTGGGCTCAGGCAATGAGAGCAGGAGAAAGTCAGCAGTAGTCCCTAGTGAAAGTTGATTTCTGCTATGACACTAAGGCATGGGCTATTCTCTTTTGCAAGGAAGTGCTTATTGTAAAAGGTTGCGGAGTTTGTTGGGATGAAAACACAAGAGAATATGCAAAACTTGGAGTTGAATTTCCTGGCTGGTCGCTACCCCAAACTTCTGATTATGTCTAACTAGCAGACGTAATGGGGCTGCGGAATGATAGTAACCAGATCCTGCAGGGTGACCCAGGCCTTACAACCTCTCCTGATGAGACAATGGGTATGGATGCCAGATCTTTCGAATACCCCCATGGGAGAACACCCAGGTTGCTGTTCTCTGTGTTTAGACGGTGATGTGCTAATAGAGAAAGCAAGTTAGAGACAAAATGTTTGCTAGCTCAGAAAGAAGCTCAGGTCTTATTGTTTGAG